ACCGGGTCTGGGGGCTGAAACTTCCCGAAATCACAAAAGAGTTCCCCTACCGGGTCTGTATACTTCGTGACTTCGTTCCCGGTTACCGGGTCTGTATACACTTCGTTTTTAAATCCCCGTTTTTTCCGACTCTTTGTCTCTATTAAAAGTTTTCGGCAATAACGGAGCCTCATCGGAGCCCAATCGGTTTTAGCAGGGACAAAGGCTCGTTAACAATGTTCAAAAAGTAAGAGAGAGAGTAACGCAATCATGGAACAATCCCACTCAAGCCCAAGCCACGCCACTGCAAGCACACGCAGCAGGAGAGAGGGCTGCGGAGTGCTGTTCATGGGTACTTGTAGCAAGGGAAACTATCCATGAATAAATACAGCTGGATTAGTTCACAAATGCTTACATCCCTTGCATATCTGATTTAACAGGGATCTGATATAACTGGAGTTTTTCTCTGGTCCCACCACCCCTGTTATGTTATATCATATCAGGTTTCTACTGTAATCAGAATCCTGTAATAATATTCTGTACTGAGCTCATAGCCACGAGAGTTCGTGACGTCACGACACTGTACAACAAGCCTGTCTGCGAGTCACAACTCACCGGAAGTTCCCCCCGGTAGCGAGCGGCAGACAAATCAAAGTACAAGCCTGCTCGCAAGCCGTCTGCTGCTCGCAAGTCTTCGATTAATCGAGCAGACTCCAGCTCTAGTGGATAGGGATATGCTTCGAACAAAAACTTATTTCTATGTTCTGCTTTGGTTGAAGGCACGTTAAGTTCAGGATGCCCTCGGGTATCCTACAGCAAAAGAAATTAATATTACAGCCCTACAAACAAGAGACTTGAAATTATAGATCTACCGTGGAGTTCGCCTAAAGTAGACTAAAGTGAACACGCTTTATTTGAACAATCAGTTAAAGTGAACGATATTCTGTGGTCCCGATTGAAATGCGATTTGTTTATTAAGTTTTTTTTTAATGGATAAAATGAACCGGTTTCATGGGAAAATCAGATAAAGTGGACGCACAACATGAGTGAAAGCGAAGAACGGACCGGCCATGTCACTGTCGCCATGCTGCGAAAATAAAATTCTTTGCCTCAGCGCATCGGCAGACAACCCCAGCTCGGCGTTGACAATGGCAATCTCAATCAGAAAGAAGGAAGAGTCCAGGAACCAGGATTTTGGTCCACGGAGATTAAATATAAAATTGTGGTCTTTTCATTCAAAATCTGGGTGGGTTATTTATACGAGAGAGAGAGAGAGAATGAAAGGCATACAGACAGGAAGTGAGAAAGAAAGAACAATGGGGAGAGAGAGATTTGAGTGTTGGAGAGGAATCTGAGATAGAGAGGGCACATGTGAAGGTAAATGGGGAGAGAAAATGTGTGAGTGTGAGAGAGAGAGAAGAAATGTACACGACACGAAATCACGAAGGGAATGATTTAGAGAAAAATGAATGTGTTCTGCGTGCGGGGTGCCCACTTCGGATGGGATCGGCCCCGACTCGGTCGCCTAAAAAACAAACGTAGTGGGCGCCCCGTCTAACAATAACAAGAAAGGAAAAAGAAAGTAGGCTACGTGACAGTTTGGAAAAAGGTAGATAAAAAGCAAAGCAAACTGTTATAGAGACTTGACTGAACGTTGGGTTGTGAACTAAGCACAGAGTGACGGACGAATATATTTACATGACATTATTATAAATAAAAGATTCGAAGTTCTCAAACTAAAAGTAGATCTTATTGTCCAACGGATATCGATGCGACAGTCCCTGCCATTTGGGAAAACGAAATGACAATAGTTATAGTGATGGGCAGGTATCGATACCAGGTACTCGATACTTAGATACCTATAGGTATTGGCAAAGATAGTACATAACAAGATGGGCCACTTCTCTCTTTGAGCCAATTAAAAAAGTGTCCTCAAAATTTGGTGGCGCCCTCTTCACAAAAGCGCACTCTTTGCAAACAGAGTTACCCTACTTGAGTTATAAAAAATCAAAGTGAAACTAGCAAGTTTTGGGATAAATTTCGGAAGAACGCTTTTTTAAAATGGTTACCCTGACAAAAAACCTCTTCCGGAGGAAAGGGTGATGGTTTTCTTCGTTTAATTTGACTTAAGAATGAAAGGCGAGAGGTCATTAAAATTTTAAAAAACCTAAAAATCCGCACTGAAGGTAGGCCTACCCGAACTGCTGATGAACAGCAGTCGATCTGCGCACGCAAGGAGGTGCTATTCCTATTCTTCTTCTGGAAAAACGAAAGAGAGCTTCAAAACAGACTGCAGCGCCATCTGAAGCAAAGAGCATACTTCTTGCGGACACTTTTTTAGCTGAGTGGCCCATCTTGTTATTTACTATCATTGGTATTGGCAATGATAGTACATAACAGGATGGGCCACTTCTCTCTTTGAGCCAATTAAAAAAGTGTCCTCAAAATTTGGTGGCGCCCTCTTCACAAAAGTGCACTCTTTGCGAACAGAGTTACCCTACTTGAGTTTTTAAAAATCAAAGTGAAACTAGCAAGTTTTGGGATAAATTTCGGAAGAACACTTTTTTAAAATGGTTACGCTGACAAAAAAAAACCTCTTCCGGAGGAAAGGGTGATGGTTTTCTTCGTTTAATTTGACTTTAGAATGAAAGGCGAGAGGTCATTAAAATAAATAAAAACTAAAACGCCGCACTGAACGTACCCG